ATGGTGACGTATAGTGTGAGCTGACACAGTTCTACCCTGTGCCAGAAGGTCAGTTTGAATTTGTCTGGAAGTTGATCAAGGTTCTTTATCCACCATTCAAACAATCCTTCATTGCAGTCTTTGATCAATTTTTCTCTTTCACCCACGTCCAGGGAGAATAGCTAGAGTGCCATGGGCTGTAAACTTCTTGACAATGTTCCGCACAGTGGACACAAAACATTAAGATCTCAGGAGATGGACTTGTAACCTTGAGATTGTCCATGCTTTTCAACAATTTTTGTTCTCACATCCTCAGACAAAATTCTTTACTGCTCTCTCTCTTCTCCATGCGACACACAACAGAAAGGTTGAGTACATTTTTTACCATTTTAACTGGTTGCCTGTGTAATTTATATACAGGTGAAACTCGAAAAATTAGAATATCGTGCAAAAGTTCATTTATTTCAGTATTGCAACTTAAAAGGTGAAACTAATATATGAGATAGACTCATTACATGCAAAGCAAGATAGTTCAAGCTGTGATCTGTCATAATTGTGATGATTATGGCTTACAGCTCATGAAAACCCCAAATCCACAATCTCAGAAAATTAGAATATTGTGAAAAGGTGCAATATTCTAGGCTCAAAGTGTCCCACTCTAATCAGCTAATTAAGCCATAACACCTGCAAAGGGTTCCGGAGCCTTTAAATGGTCTCTCAGTCTGGTTCAGTAGGAATCACAATCATGGGAAAGACTGCTGACCTGACAGTTGTGCAGAAAACCATCACTGACACCCTCCATAAGGAGGGAAAGCCTCAAAAGATAATTGCAAAAGAAGTTGGATGTTCCCAAAGTGCTGTATCAAAGCACATTAATAGAAAGTTATGAGGAAGGGAAAAGTGTGCAAGAAAAAGGTGCACAAGCAGCAGGGATGACCGCAGCCTGGAGAGGATTGTCAGGAAAAGGCCATTCAAAAGTGTTGGGGACTTTTACAAGGAGTGGACTGAGGTTAGAGTGAGTGCATCAAGAGCCACCACACACAGACGGATCCTGGACATGGGCTTCAAATGTCGTATTTCTCTTGTCAAGCCGCTCCTGAACAACAAACAACGTCAGAAGCATCTTACCTGGGCTAAAAAAAAAAAAAAAAAAAAAACAGACCTGGTCTGTTGCTCAGTGGTCCAAAGTCCTCTTTTCTGATGAGAGCAACTTTTGGAAACCAAGGACCCAGAGTATGGAGGAAAAATGGAGAGGCACACACTGCAAGACGCTTGAAGTCCAATGTGAAGTTTCCACAGTCTGTGTTGATTTGGGAAGCCATGTCATATGCTGGTGTTGGTCCACTGTGCTTCATTAAGTCCAGGGTCAAAGCAGCCATCTACCAGGAGATTTTGGAGCACTTCATGCTTCCTTCTGCAGACGAGCTTTATGCGGATGCTGACTTCATTTTCCAGCAGGACTTGTCACCTGCCCACACTGCCAAAAGCACCAAACCCTGGTTCAAGGACCATGAGATTACTGTGCTTGATTGGCCAGCAAACTCGCCTGACCTGAACCCCATAGAGAATCTATGGGGCATTGCCAAGAGAAAGATGAGAGACATCAGACCGAACAATGCAGAAGAGCTGAAGGCCACTATTGAACCACTATTGAAGCATCCTGGTCTTCCATAACACCTCAGCGGTGCCACAGGCTGATAGCTTCCATGCCACACCGCATTGAGGCAGTAATTGCTGCAAAAGGGGCCCAAACCAAGTACTGAGTACATATGCATGCTTATACTTTTCAGAGGTCCGATATTGTTCTATGTACAATCCTTGTTTTATTGATTGCATGTAATATTCTAATTTTCTGAGATTGTGGATTTGGGGTTTTCATGAGCTGTAAGCCATAATCATCACAATTATGACAAATCACGTCTTGAACTATCTTGCTTTGCATGTAATGAGTATCTCATATATTAGTTTCACCTTTTAAGTTGCAATACTGAAATAAATGAACTTTTGCACAATATTCTAATTTTTCGAGTTTCACCTGTATTGTCAGCGCCTGTTAATTGATACAGGTGAGTTTAATTACAAATTACATGAGCGTCACAAACTTGGCATGCAATTATTTCTTACAACTTTGAGAAGGTGCCAATAATTTTGTCCAGACCATTTTTGGGATTTTGCGTGGAATGTGTCAGATTTGGCTTTTTGTTTCTCCACTTTTTTGTGTCACACCAATACAAACAAAAGAAATAAACATGAGAATGCCTAAACCTTTGTAATTGCAACGATTTTCTGGGCGAAGTGGTGCATTATCTAATAGAAATGCAGGGGTACCAATATTTTTGGCCATGACTGTATATTCTAGGGATCCATGAGATGGACACTCCAGAAAGTGTTTGTTTTCCCTGGAGAGGCATTCAGTGGCGTGAGAAGCTGGAAAGGTAAGTATTTACACTGCTGAGGTCACTTAGAATTTGCTCTCCATAATGTTCACAATTGAGCTGCATAATGGGACAAGTAAGCATGCACTATCTTTAAAGTATAACTAAAGCAAAACTTGTTTTTTTTGTTTTAGATAGAGTTGAGAGAGATTAGAAAACCTGTTAGGTTTTCATTGCTGTCGGTTTCCCTAAGATTCAATTTATTTGTCCCGTTTACTGTTTTCACCAAAAGGGAAAGAAAATCCCCAATTTAGAGTGGTCACCAGAACAACAATAGAGGGGAAATCTTCCAATGGGGATGCTAGCTCTGGTGACATCTTTGGAGGGATTTTCTCTCACTTCCTATGGCGGCTATAGGACAGGAAGTGAAGTGGGATTTACTTTTCCCTTACTGTTCAAAATGAAAAAATACGTCCTGCATATAGTTCTAGTTCAATTGCTGTCCTCTCTCATATTCCGAATAATTTCCACTCACTGCTTAGGAACCTTATCGGTACAAAGGGTAATCTCTTGTCTCCTTTCCTTCTCTGCAAGACTCAGCCTTTAGATCTGTGCTTTGTATGTATGTATGTATATATATATATATATATATACAGTATATATATATATATTTTTACTTTCAGCAGGAACGCAGTTCTGGCACCTTCAGCACAGAATGTATGTAAGGGAAAGTAATGCTGGGGTGAGCTGGAAAGTGAAAGTCTTTTGTTGCTGAGGAGGTCTATTGTTGCTTGGGGGGGTGTATTGTTACTGGGGGGGATTTATTGCTGCTGGGTTCGATCTATTGTTGCTTGGGGGGGGGGGGGGGGGGTCCCTATTGTTGCTGGCTGCAGGTGATCTATTTTACTGCTTTTTGTTATCATTAACAAATTTCAAACACATTACTTAGCACCACAAAACGATACTTTGTTCTGTATTTTGTAAAAGGGGCTGTAGTGGAAGGTGGGTAGGGGCTGTAACTAAGAGACAGTACTCAGACTATTCTCTATTTTATGAGAAAAAAAGCTGTGCATGTGTGATATATATAAAAAATTAATTTAATTAATTTATTTTCAAAAGTGACAGCTGCTGCAAGGGAGAACGCCGGCATGCTGTCACGGGGAGGGTGCGGAAGGGTCTGATTTGCTGCATGTTACGGTACACCCTAGTTACAAGTATAACATACAACACAATGCAAAAAAAGCCGAGTTGGGCTTCAAACTATAACCCATTCATTAGTTTGACAGCGAAATGGAAGCCAATCAAACTAGCCCAGTGAGTCAGGTGTAGAAGATGGTATCAGCCGCTACTCTGGCTCCAGCGTCCATTTCTCTGTCAGATTGGAGCCACTGGAAGCACTTTGGGATGCTGGCTCCCTCCTTTCGCATACTGGCAGGGTTAACTTTCCCTTGCATTCTGGCAAGTCTTCCCATTCATTAGTTTGTTGGATATTACTGTCAGCGCCCAACTTCTGACACTGTGGGGATGAAGGGATCCTGTCTTTTGTCTTCCCCTCATCCATTCATAGAACATTGCTTATTCTGTTCGTGGACAATCAGCGCTAACAGTAGTCTGCTGGAGTTGCCCTTTAAAGATCTGTTGTTTGATATAATGTTAAAGTGTTACTAAACCCCGGACCCTGCATTCACTATATCGGTTCTCCCACAGTTTATATTTACAAAAGTTTATAATAGAAAAAGTCTCCCACAGTTTATATAGCAAAAATAAACGCTCTAGCAAACACACAACATGGAAACACAATCATTTTAGTAAGTATAAACTGCTAAATACTTTTTCTCATCAGCAGTTAGAGCAGTCTTGTGACTTCAGCAGATCACTGGTTAAAGCTTGAAGGAGGAGTTTTTTTCTGCTCTGGGAGGATGCAGAACCCCTGACCTCTGTCTGGACAGTGCTGATTGGCCCTGTGCTGACCACATGCACTCCCCCAAGAGAAAAAAAAAACTTTCTAGCAATACACACTAAACTGAGCATGTGCATGTGGCTACAGGTTAAGTCTGTCTTATCATGTGGACATTTGAACAAGAGGAGAGGCAGAGAAAACAAGACCAAACAGCCTTTTTACACAATGCAGAGGATTAACCCCTTGGGTTCCACAGTGAGTATAACAAGCATGCTTTACTGCATATACAGACTGATTTTACTGTTGTGGGTCTAGGAACACTTTAAATGTAGACGTCACACCCAGCGATGTGGAAGACGGGAAACAGACAAGTACGAGATCCAACTTTACAGGTACACACTGTAAATACTATCAGATGATGTTCCTTATAAAGGGGAGGACAGTATACGTTGCCCCTCCATTGTACTGTAACATCGCCCACCTTCATCACACCCACCAATCAGTGCAGGCCAGTGGCACACTTGGTATAATGCACAGCCCACAGGATTACCTCCCTATCACTGAATGGCCACCAGTTGGCTGTGTTTGCCTCCCAGGTTCCCATCACACAGACATGTGCAGATAAGACAGGACTCCTCCCCTGACCAATCAATGGATGGTGAATGGGAGGCACCTGTCACTCTGGATTGTCACCATTACCTCCTGGGGAGGGGGAACATCAGACAGACAAGGCAGAGAATACTCACATCCCTGAACTCTGCCAGCCCCATCTCTCCCAGCTCGCTGACACAATCATACGCCGAGCCGGCCTGGAGGAAGAGCTGTGCCAGGCACATGGGATCACTCCGGAACAGAGAGCCCATGCTGGGTGTCCGCCGATCCCGAGCCGAGCTCCTATGTCACCGAGAAACTCTCCACTACACTCCACGTCGCTTCCTCTCCACAGCTCATTCCACACACAGCACTTCCGGGATGGCCAGCCTTCCGCTGATTGGAAGAGCAGACGGTCTGCCCTAGGGGAGGAGTTTCTAGGGGGCAGTTCATTTCCCGGCTATAGGGTCCCGCCAACGTGACTCAGGTTCTGTGTGTGATTGGTGGTTGAGGCCATGGTTACTGTGGAACGCAACGCTCCTATTGACATGGCTTCTTAGCAACCCGATTGTACGGAGGGCAGAGGGATGGCGGCCCCAGGGGTCCCAGGATCGCTTTTCATCGGCATGGTGGTGCTGACAGTTGGGATAGAGGCCCAGATCATCACGGGTGAGGAATAAGGATGGCTGGTCTCCCTGTACTGTGGCCAGAGTCATGCCTGTACAAGTAGGCCTGCTACTGCCAGGTGGGGCATGGGGGGATGGCAGAGATCAGACCCCACAAGGTGCTCACTCTGACCTGTCAGCCACATAGGCTTCTACTGGGCTCCGATTTCGTTTCACATTGGTACAAGGGCCTGACTTGTTACAGTGGTTTTTTTTAATGCACCAAACTTGCGTTCAGGACTAGACTAACCGCGTTTAGAAGCATTTGCGTTTAGGAGCATTTTTTAACTGTTCCATATCCAGATGCTGTCCAGAGCCTTTTTCATCAGAATTACATGCAAAGCGTTTTCCATGTATTCAAATGGACCCAGTACACCAGTGCAGTCAGTTCCAGGTTTTGCATGAAGGAACAAATGGTAGAACATGCCGCATTATGCTCATGATGGGATCCATAGTGAATACAACCAGAAAAGATAGGTCTTCTCAACACATACTGCTCTGTCTGCTTCTGCTCTCTCTATTTCTCTCAAAATGTCTGAAATAGTTAATTTTTTACTGTTTTTCAGTGCATTCTGCTCATTTGGGAGGATCTCCTGAGGTTATCTTTTAAAAACGCTTCTAAACGCAAATGCAGCTAAACTGATGTTTTTCAACCTACGTTTTCCAGCAGTTTCCATCGTTCAGAAGAGTTTTCCAAACGTGTACATGAACCCTAAAAATTAAGGCCAGGTTCACAGCTTTGCATCTACATTTCCTGTGTTTTTTTAGATATGGATTTTTGTGTTCATGCTCATGTTCATGCATTATGCTTTTTGTTTGGCCAATGAAAGTGGGGCTTGTTGTCATACACTAAAACTCATGGACATGAACAAGCTCATGCAGAAGGCTGCAAGGGATGCGTACAGCCCTGGCCAAAAGTTTAGAGAATGACACAAATATGAATTAACCTGTAAGGAAACATGTGTACTCATCATTGCTTTGCACAAAAAGGGATTCACAGGCAAGGATATTGCTTCTGCTAAGTTTCTTAAATCAGCCATTTATTGGATCATCGAGAACTTCAAGGAGTGAGGTTCAGTTGTTGTGAAGAAGGCTTTAGGGAGCCCAAGAAAGTCCAGCAAGTGCCATCTCCTAAAGTTGATTCAACTGCGGGATCGAGGCATCACCAGTGCAGAGCTTGCTTAGGAATGGCAGCAGGCAGGTGTGAGTGCATCTGCGCACACAGTGAGGTGAAGACTTTTGGAGGATGGCCTGGTGTCAAGAAGGGCAGCAAAGAAGCCACTTCTCTCCAGGAAAAACATCAGGGACAGACTACAGACTGATATTCTGCAAAAGGTACAGGGATTGGACCGCTGAGGACTGGGGTAAAGTCATTTTCTCTGATGAATCCCCTTTCCGATTGTTTGGGGCATCTGGATTAAACCTTGTCCAGAGAAGAGAAGGTGAGCGCTACCATCAGTCCTGTCATGCCAACAGTAAAGCATCCTGAGAACATTCATGTGTAAGGTTACTTCTCAGCTGAGGGAGTGGGTTCACTCACAATCTTGTCTAAGAACACAACCATGAACATCCTCCGAGAACAACTTCTCCCAACCATCCAAGAACAGTTTGGTGATGAACAATGCCTTTTCCAGCATGATGGAGCACCTTGCCATAAGGCAAAGTGATAACCAAGTGACTTGGGGAACAAAACCTAGAAATGTTGGGTCCATGGCCAGGAAATTCCCCAGACCTTAATCCCATTGAGAAATTGCGGTCAATACTCAAGAGGCAGGTGAACAAACAACCCCCCGCAAATTCTGACAAACTCCAAGCATTGATTATTGAAGAATGGGCTGCCTTCAGTCTGGATGTGGCCCAGAAGTTGATTGATAACATGCTAGAGTAAATTGCAGAGGTCTTGAAAAAGAAGGGTCAGCGCTGCAAATATTGAGTCTTTGCATAAGGTAATGTAATTATCAATAAAAGCCTTTAACACTTATGAATAGCTTGTAATTTAACTTCAGTATTCCATAGTAACATCTGACAATAAGACTGAAAAACACTGAAGCAGCTGACTTTGTAGAAATTAATATTCATGTTATTTCTCAAAACTTTTGGCCACGGCTGTACAGTACACATAAGCAGCCAGGATCTCTGTAGAAACTGTCCTGGGATCCGCAGCTGCTGTGTACAGCTACCCATAGACCGCAGTTACAAATGTGGCTGTACACAGGTATGTACCAGTGCATGCACTCAGATGTATGTTCTAAAAGCAGACAGATACAGAGATGTGAGCGGACACCATAGAAAAGATTGGCAATCGTTATGCACAGATCCTAGCTCCCCCCTGGCCCTCTTTATCATCTTAACGTGGTTGTAAAAGTAGAAGGTTTTTTACTTTAATACATTCTCTTCATCAGGGTAAAAAAACTTTTACAAAATAACCTAACCGAACCCAATCTCGGCCCAGTACTGTGCTTGGGAACAGCGGTTCTGCTCTCTCTTAGCTTTACTGGACTCTGTGATAGCACCAGGAGCCGTTGGCTTCTGCAGCTGTCAATCAAATCCATCTTGTTAATAACACACACAGCATGGCTCAGGATTGAGTCCACAGAGGTCAGTTAGTCCCCCCCTTCCCCAGCCACTGGGAGGGGCTACTCAAAGGCAGGAGGAGCCAGGAGTACCAGTGGGGGACGCCAGAAAGGTAGGATCAGGGCTGCTCTGTCCGTCCCCCACCAGTGCTCCTGCCTCCTCCTGCCATTGTGTACCCCCTCCCAGTCAAGCCACTTGCTGGGGAGGGGGGGGACTCCTGTGGACCTGATCCTGAGCCACACTGTGTTCGTCTATTAACACACACACATTGTGGCTTGGCCTTGCCCCTGACTGGATGTAGTGGTTGAAGATTCAGGCCTTATTCACAGCATGTGTTATGATGTTGATTACATTGGAATGCTCATGCATGAAAATAAAACACTGGGGGAATTTACTAAAACTGGAGCAGCTGTGTATGGCAACCAATCAGTTTCAGTTAAAGTGGAACTAATCCTATAATACAAAAAAATGCAAGAAGGCAGCTTTTTATTTGCAGAAGAGACACTGGTGGTGGTGCTGGAGTGGCTTCTGTGCACATATGCAGGAGTCATATCATCCCCCTCTGGCTTATCAAGAGGACAAAGACCCACCACCTGGAAGAAGCCCAGGGAAAGGATGTCAGTGGCCAGTGATGGATCTAATGGTCACATCTCTAGAAGGTTGAGGTGGGTATTCTGTGGACTTTAGTTCTGCTTTAAAGCAGAACTAAAGCCTTCAATTTAACATTTCCCCAAAACAGTTATAATCCTGGCATGCTTTGAATAACTGTCACAGTTGCTTGTGCTCCCAAGCCTTCAAATGGCTAGTGTAATAATGGATCACATGTACAGCACCATGGCAATTGCAGATTAGGCAAAGACTAACATGGAAGTTCATGAACAATGTTTTTCCCTAGGCCCACTGAAATTAAAAGTGCATAAGGATACATTTATAATGTTTGTTATGCATGCAAGTTATGATGCCAGAGCCACAGTATAGGAGACCCTTCTTGACAATTGCTGGAAAGCTTGGGGAGATTCAGATACTGGGCAGAGGACAGGTTGTGTATTATAGGTTGCAGGGGTAGATGGGGTGAGGCAAGGTGACTGGTCTGAAAATGTTATGCTATCCCATATCTTGAGTGAGTGGGCTGTTAGACAGATTAGAGTCTCAGTGGTTGGGTGATATTTGGGCTGAGCTGAGAGGCCAGGTAATATTTACTTTTGTTTGGGACCCCCAAACACCCGGAAAGCTTTGGGAGGTAAATAGTGTGCCAGGGTAATCTAGGTTTTTGATGTCCCATATAATGTTACTTTTCTTTGCATGCTTTGTAAGATGTGGAGAGGGACAACGAATGGAAGAACCCTGAAAAAAGTTTATAGTATCAACCTGACCTCCATCTGCATTCCTCTTGCTGGTGCTTGCCTCGGGCAAATGTTGGGAGCTAGAGAGAGGCATTCACTATCAAAGCAGCTGTCTCCTTGCTAGCTGCGCTGTTGGTTAGCTGTACGCCATTGCAGCTAGTGTTACAATGATAATTATTTTTAAAGCGACTCCTTTGATATAGTAAACTTTTAGAAATAAGGCATACAAGTAAAAGGGGATAACCTAAACACCTATCTTCCCTGTAGCCTACACTGCTCCAATACCAAGAAAGTCCACACAGAAACTGGAGTGAGTTATTTATTTATTTCAGGTACTTATATAGCACTGTCAATTTACACATATATATTGAACATTCACATCAATCCCTAACCCTCAAGGGGTGTACAATCTAAGGTCCCTAATTACATTCATACATACACATATTATTGCCAATTTAGACAGGATCCAATTAACCAACCAGCATGTCTTTGGCGTGTAGAAGGAAACCAGAGCACCCGGAGGAAACCAACGCAAGCACAGGGAGAACATGGAAACTCCATGCAGGAGGTGACCCATGACCCATTTACTGCAAGGCAGACATGCTAACCACTAAGCCACTGTGCTGCCCAGTTTCCAAGGGAGTTGATTTTCCTAGCCCCCACAGCTCTTACTGGTTCCTTCTGATGACTTTTATGCATTTCAGGAAACGGTAGTTATGTGAAGGTCTGCAGAAAGAACCAGTGAGAGCTGCAGGAGAATATAAAGATGGACACTACAGGAAATGTGTGTTTTCATGTTGAAGATTTCTTGGGATTGGAGAGACATTCAGTGACATAAGCAGCAGGAAGGGAAGAATGTACACTGTTCTTTAACAGGTTTTTATAAAGTGGAACTAAATCCATCAGTTTAAAAGTTTCTCACAAAAGTTTGTCATGGAAATTTTGTATTGTTGGTCGAACTTTAAATGTGTCATATATTCGTGTTATTCATATGTCTCTCGTGTGGCTTAATTAAAGCTCTGAAGGCTGCAATTGGGCCATGCGCATGTACAATGTATGTATTACAGTACTCAGCTTGGTAATGGATGAGATGGCAGATCTGCGCTTATAGACCGGCGTGTATACCACCACGGCATTCCATGCGAATGCTGCTGTCAGTAGACCGTGGGCCTGTATCCACATATCAGCAGCATGGTACCACGTGGGCTTCATAACGCAAGGCGCAAGCGGTGTGAACTCCACGTGTAGGCTTGTGCATATCTTACAACCCATTACTAATCTGAACTGTATCTGGGATGGATGTGTTTTAATAAAGATCGTATCGGGCCCATCCAGGTACAGACTGATATTTTTAGGGAGATGCTTGTGCAGAGAATTTTGCATACCAATAGAAGCTAGTAGGACAGGAAATATGACCTCAGATGGCTCATAGGGGGGAAGGGGAGGAAGTCTGCTGACCTCAGAAGACTCATGGGGGAGGACCAGTGATAGATAATAGCAAAGGCTATGCTCCAATTGGAATGTACATCCTCTGTATAGGCAATCCCCATTGTATTGTTCGGTGGGAGGGATTGACTTTATTCATGTGGGGGGCATGTGTGTATTCTTAATAAAAAACAGAGAGCTGAGCCTAAAGCCGGCCTTATGTGGATTGCAACCAGCCTTAGAGTGTCGTGTGATCATTCTAGGGTAACGGAGCTCCAATCACCCACAAATTCAACAGAACCAAAGTATTTGGATGGGCAGGAATCGTGTAGTTTGGCTGCAGTCGTGGTAAGCGAGATTCGCACAGCTTTATGGGGGATTTCTGCGCATCCAACTGCGAGTACTCACGGTAAGGAGAAATTCGTTAAAGCGAATTTCCAAGACAAGTTCCATTCAAGGCATTCCATGAATAATAACTGTCACAGGTGCTACATCTGTCGAACTGTCAAGCCATCAAATGGCTGGGCCGCACAGTGACTAAATGGTTAGCACTTCTGCCTGGCATTACTAGGGTCGTTGGTTTGAATCCCAACCATGGCACCACCTGCCTGGAGTTTGTATGTTCTCCCTGTGCCTGTGTGAGTTTCCTCTCATACTCCACTCCAAAGAAATGCTTGTATGTTAATTGGATCCTGTCTAAATTGTCCCTAGTATGTGTATGTATGAATGTGAGTTAGGGACCTTAGATTGTACGCCCCCTGAGGGTTAGGGACTGATGTGAATGTACAATATATATGTAAAGTGCTGCTTAAATTGACAGCGCTATATAAGTACCTGTAATAAATAAATAAAAAAATGGCTGGAGTCATAACTGATCACGTGTACAGCCCCATGGCAACTGCAGATCAAACAGAGGCTAAGATGGCAGCTTCCTTGGCTGAAAAGGATAGGAGGGTTTAGTTCCCCTTTAAGGTAGTTTAATCCTTTATTGGTACGTTAAGCTTGTCTGTAATATGTGTTGCTAATGGCATAAGCATGTTCTCATTTGAATCTTTAAAGATTTGTTCTCAAATGTAAATAATGTTAATTGTAATTTACGCAAATCATAGGTGCTTTCCTAATTCTGATGATCTGCCTTTCAGGGTTCTTTCCTTCCACAATATTCATGTCTGGACCTGAAGTGACTTCATACCTTGTTACAAATGCATCTTCTGTCAATTTATCCCTTGCTGTCATTACAGATACCAGTAAGTTGAATGTTGTTTCCTCTATATTAAAACAAATGCATATTTTTATAGCCTGAATCACTTACAAGAACATCTGCATAACACTAAGGTTTATTATCTAATTTTAGTTTCCGCACCTGTGGAAAGTTGCAGTGGGAATAATAATATAGATAACTGGGCTTCAACTTATGTTGGGACACAGATGGTGAGTAAAATAAATTCATCGAACTTTGCACAAGCAAGTAAAATATTTGCTATATTTTTTTAGTGTGTATAATACTTAGCAAAAATGCACTAATTCTTAGATGTGGCGGCAGCATTGTTTGTGGCGTTGGGTTTTTTTTTGGGGGGGGGGGGGGGGGCTTTTTTCCTTTTCACCTAGGAATCTGGCCAGTAAGTCTGTCATTTCTCAACTCTCTATAGCAGATCACGCTGGCCAGCAAAAGTGTCAGTTAGAGTGTTGAGACAAACCCTTTAACACTAAATTGGGTGCTTACAATGGTCAAATTTTATCCATTTATGTAAAACTTTTATTCCAAAAGAAAAAAAAAAAAACTGTTCCATCTGCTTAAAATGTGGTAGCTGGAGTTCAGCTTTAATTTGTTAGTCACGTCCATCTAAATCTAGTACATTACTTCTAGTACAACACTACCTTCTCAGAATGACAGTGCTGCTGTTCAAAGGTGTCTCTGCTGCTCCTTCATCCAGCGTGGAGACACCCTAAGACAGGAAGTATGTTACTGGTCAGATCACCTGGTGAAAATAAAGGGGAATAAGAAAATTATGCAGCCACAGTATTTAAAGAAGAACTCTGGTCAAAATTTCTTTTTCACCGTGCATGGATCAGCTGCTCATTTTTCTAGGGCTGAGCACAAAGCTCATACTCACCTGACCCGCCGACCCTCCGAAAAATCGTGCTCCCCCACGATCTAGCAGTGAACTATTCCTGTCTATGCAGTGTGACATCAGGAACAGTCCATTTCCTGGGGGGGGTGCAGGAGCTGGAGGGACCAGTCTTGTGCAGGGAGGATCAGCGGCTCAGGTGAGTAAATCTCCGCTATTCTCGGCTGTTCTCTCGCCTAGAGCACAACAAGCAGTTAACCTGTACATTTTTTCTCGGCTGCTTTAACGATTTTAATCTGCAATATATCAAGTTTTTGTTTTTTGCGTTTATTACTACTTTAATATCTCTCACATAAAAAAGTAAGCCACAAATATAAATTTACATTGTTGATAAAACTGACACATTTGTATTTTTCTGACAGGATGTATTTAAAGTCACAGTGACATCACAGAAGAATCTTACTCTCTGTACCATCAATGAAACTAATTGTTGCACTGAGGATCTGTGTATTGTGGAAACACTTCAAGTTACAGCTTGTGGGAATGGCACACCTATCAGCAGTCTACTAATCCATGCTGAAATTTATATCAACACCACTTTTATAGGGCTTGTATCAGGTAATGCTGTGAAATAAACATGTAATTATATTCTGAATGAGTACTAGTCAAAGACAGCAACTGTAATGGCTAGCACTGAATTGGATCTCTTTTTTGAGGTGATTGTAGCCCTATTAGTGCACTTGCGAAAGAAACAATTGAGTACTGTCCATGATACTTTTTTTATTTGCCCTGCATTACAGTTTTTAGGACAAGCTTTCGGGGTATGTCCCCTTCTTCAAGGCCCAAGCAGTACTCATAAATTAATTGGATGTCAGCTTTTTCCATAGTGCTTTATAGAGTCCTTATGCTAAAAGTGATGATTCTGAACCTTCTTTGCTAAGTATACTATTTAATAGATTTGAGAATGGTATAGTTTATTCTGTCAACTTTGTCCTTTTGACATAATAGTGGTTTTCAGAGCAGTATAGTAATTAAAAACCTAAAAGTTAAAAAAGGTAAAACAGGCAAAAATAAAAATTATACTTTGAAATGTGTACAGGGAGTACAGCCTACCTGTTCATTTCTTTTGTTTTTTAATGTTCTTGTTCTAATGCACCAGTTGATTTAATCCCTTTTGTCGGTACTACTTCTACTTCTGCTTGGAATGCAGGAGAGGGCCATGTATTTAGACATCATGCTCAGTTCTTATGAGCATATAAGTCACTTGTAGCCTCCCCAGATGCACAGAGAACACACACATATTCCACTGCAGTTTGCTTCTGACTTGCTTTGATTTGTTTTTGAGTTGCATTGATTTGCTTAAAAGTTGCATCAAGCTGCTTTTGATTTGTACCAAGCTGTTTCTAAGTTGCATCAAGAATGGTATGCTGCTTTTGCATATTCAGGACTGAATGTTGAAAGCCCAGTTGGAGTGAGATGAGTTAACCCCGATGCTTTGGAATGGTATATGCTGGATTTTCTCTTAAATCGCAGAGGTGGTGGTGTCGGCCTGCTCCTTTCACCGCTGAGCACCTTCCAGGTCCTCCCTAACCCACCCTCTCTATCCTTCCCCTCCTTTGAGGCGCACTGCATCCGACTCTTCACACCCACCCCCTAAGGATCGCAGTGATCTACAGACCTCCTGGGTCCATACCCCACTTCCTGGACAACTTCGCCGCCTGGCTCCCCTTCTTCCTCTCCTCTGAGCTACCGACCATCATCCTCGGGGACTTCAACATCCCCATCAACGACAACAACCCGGCCACTTCCCAATTCCTCCACCTAACCTCCTCCTTCGCGCTCACACAGCACACGCAATCCTCCACCCACATCGGAGGGAACACCCTGGACCTCGTCTTCTCCCACCTCTGTACCCTCAACCAGTTCTCTAACACCCCCTTCCCTCTCTCTGACCACCACCTCATCACGTTCTCCATCTCCCCTTCCCCCAACTCCCCCCCCCCCCCCCCCCCAAAAACGCCAAACCATCACCAGCCGCAATCTCCGCAACCTGAACCCGGCCCCCCTCCACTCAGCCGCCGACCGCCTACACGACAGCATCCTCCCACTGTCATGTCCTGACATAGCCACCACCTTGTACAACGACTCACTGTCAGCTGCCCTAGACTCTCTGGCACCCCTAACCACACGCATCATCAAAAACCCAGGCCGCTTCAACCATGGCAGAATGACAGCACTAAACGCCTTAAACGTCGCAGTCGCGCACTGGAGAGACTGGCGCAAAACCAGGTCCCCTCACGCATTCTCCCTCTACAAATCTGCCTTCCTCACTTACACCTCCTCCCTCCACGCCGCCAAGCAGGCCTACTTTGTTAACCTAATCAACACCCTTTCCTCCTGCCCTCGCCGACTCTTCTCCACCTTCAACTCCCTGCTCTCCTCTCCCCCCCCCCCCTCCTCCACTCAGTACCTCACTCACCTCCCACGAGATTGCCACCCATTTCCGTAACAAGATATTATTATTAAATTATGTTCATTTAGCATTAAAGCAAAAATGTTTTGTTTTGTTCGCAGATAATGAAACTGTGATACCCAATCAAGTGTACCAACCTCTAGGATCATGCCCATGTAACCTGACAGCTGCAGCATGTGATATTCTCTGCTGTTGTGATCAGGTAGGAGTTTATGCAATTAAGTGCTATTGTGATATATATTCTTGTAGTGAACGTCAAGAATAAAACCTTTACAGTACACCATGTTAGGACTGGGAATACTTACGGTCGGGCATGTCCTGGCTTAGTATGTGAGTTGGATGGTTTGAATGACACCCGTGCTAGGTTTTCTTCCTGGAGCTTACAGGTAAGTCCATTAGATCCCCTACACAGCTGAAATCAAGATTTTGAAAGTGCTTATACATAAAGTTGCCTTTCTGACCTGAACAATCCTTCTACTGATCTCAATCCTTTTTACTGCACCCTATAAACTTTAGAAATCTAAGTGATGGTTTTAATGCAGTGTCCACCATGGCATCTGATGAATTAAGTTATCAGCGCCTCTAAAACCAAACCATTTATGTTTTCAAAGGCCATTTAGAAGCAAAAGGTGGACACACACCCCACACATGGTAGAGTTGTATCGATACAGTGCAAAGCAAAAGGTTCACAGGTACAAGCTCTCCAGGCAGATTTTTACATAGGTAAGTGGGATTATGGACATGTCTAATGTAGGCCATACATGGTTCGAATTTCAAACGATTTTCGTACGAAAATCGGACCTAAGAATAATCGGCCGATTTTTGCTCTGTTAATGGGGCATTTTCTTGGTTCCTCCCCAATTCGTTTATCGGACATGTTGGAAAATTCGTGAAAAACGACCGATTTTCCAAATCATTGGTGGCACTATCGGATTACAGAACAAACGACGGTTCGAGTTTCGAATGAAAAATCGTTTGGAATTCGAACCATGTATGGCCTGCATAAGGAAGGTTATTGGAGTTCAGAACTATCCCTTCCAAAGAGTTGCCATATTAGCTTGTTACTAGCTAGTAAATATATTGCTACAAAGGAGTGCTGGAAAATTCTAGGCCTAACCAAAAAAAAAGGAATGACTTAGAGCCATGAAATTTACATGTTTTCCCACATATTCTACCCATAGTTAGACACGGGTGTGTTTTTCAAGTTTCTTTAAACCCTATCAAAAAAATTCTGATGTCTGGTCACGTAAATACTGCTCGGCTGCTGCTACTACCTCATTTTATACTCTGTCTTCTATTTTGGCTTATCTTAGAATAGAAATATACTGAACGTATTGGCAGTTGGGGCTTAGTTAAAATCAGCAAAAAGTGAGAGTGGAGAAGTAAAGGCAAAAGCAGTAACTATAGAATTACAGAATTGTGTTTTGAGCTATTCAGGCTTCACTAGCAACGGTAAGGTAAGGTAAGGTACAGCCTGAGACAGGTACCGATTGCTACTATGTCAAAGTCCCTGGTCACACTGGATGTGAATTGGCATGCGATTTGCATGCCATGCGACTTGCAAATTGCATGCCAAGTTGCACCCTATTGTCTGAAATTAGAGCAGTCATATCGGTGCGGTTCCGACTTGGTCGGAGCCACACTGATTTCTAAAGTAGTACATGCACTACTTTTGGTGTGATTTGCAAAGACATCTGTGTCAGATGTCTTGCAAATCACACCTGAAATCGGCATGTCACCCAACTTTGAAATCGTGCAACTTTCACTGTAAGTCACACGATTTCAAAGTCGGGTTTGATGCGACCAGGGTGTAAGTCCCCTTTCACATGAGTGATCCGACCAGGTCCACCTCTCAGTTTTTCAGGCAGACCTAGTCAGAAGGTCCATGCATTCTTATGGACAGGCAGATGTAAATGAACTTGTGTCCGTTTACATCCACATACCTTCAGGTCCAATACAGTCCACTAAAAAAAAAAAGAAAAAGGGGGGGGGGTGTCCATCTTCTTCCTTTTAGGCAGATTGGATCAGGGGGTAAGCAGGTGTAAATGGACAACGGAATCCAGTTATTCCTGGCCGCTCATAGAGCAGAGATGTGTCACCCACCTGCTCTGCTCTGATCAGCAGGGGGACTGTGAACAGATTACCTACTGTTTGGAATGGAATCTGCCCCACGTAAAAAGGGGCCTTAGCAAGTAATGATTTCCAATACAGCAAGATGGTGGCTGTAGGTCCTGTAGAAAGCAATGTCTTGCATTTGGATAAGAAAAAAGTGCAGTAGTGAAAATTACACGAAAAAATGAAATAATTAAAATAACTCTCTACGCTGTAGCGTTAAGGCCAGTATAGAGCACTTCACTTAGATTGCATTACTTGTCGCTGTTTGTTCACTCAAGTCACTACTTATTTATTTTATTCAGTATAATGCTAGAGCATTATTTTAATTATTTCATTGTTTCGCTTCATTTTCACTTTTTTTTTATCTATTGTTACTGAGGATATGTCCTTTTGTGCTAGCGGCTGTTCCAGCTTATCCCTCCCTATTCGCTCACTGTCATTTTTCATTTTCCAATGTCGTGCATTTGCCTGTGTTGTACATATTGGGCACAGAATCCTAAATAATATTTTTACTGATAAAAATATTACATTTATTTTGCATATATTTTAGTAATTTTTGAAGGCTAGAACAGATATATTGAAATCAGAACACACAAAGCACATTCAGTGCCTTGAAAAAGCATTTATACCCCTTGACATTTTCCACATTTTGTCAAGTTTACAACCAAAAACTTAAATGTATTTTATTGGGATTTTATGTGATAGACCAACACAAAGTGGCACATAATTGTGAAGTAGAAGAAAAATGATAAATGGTTTTCCAAATTTTTTACAAATATGTGAAAAGTGTGGCATGCATTTGTATTCAGCCCCCGAGTCAATACTTTGTAGAACCACTTTTCACTGCAATTACAGCTGCAAGTTTTTTTGGGGCTGTCTCTACCAGTTTTGAACATCTGGAGAGTAAAATTTCTGCCCATTGTTCTTTGCAAAATAGCTCAAGCTCTGTCAGATCGATGGAGAGCATCTGTGAACAGTAATTTTTAAGTCTTGCCACAGATTCTCAATTGGATTTAGGTCTGGACTTTGACTAGGCCATTCTAACACATGAATATGTTTTGACCTAAACCATTCCATTGTACCTCTGGCTGTATGTTTAGGGTCGTTGTCCTGCTGGAAGGTGAACCTCCGCCCCAATCTTAAGTCTTTTGCAGACTCTAACAGGTTTTCTTCTAAGATTGCCCTGTATTTGGCTCCATCCATCTTCCCAACAACTCTGACCAGCTTCCCTGTCCCTGCTCAGGAAAAGCATCCCCACAACATGATGCTGCCATCACCATGTTCCAAAGTGGGGATGGTGTGTTCCGGGTGATGTGCAGTGTTCATTTTCCGCCACACATAGCGTTTTTTGCTTTTTGGGCAAACATTTCCATTTTGGTCTCATCTGACCAGAGCACCTTCTTCCATGTTTGCTGTGTCCCCCACATGGCATCTCGCAAACTGCAAACAGGACTTCTCATGGCTTTCTTTCAACAATGACTTTCTTCTTGCCACTCTTCCATAAAGGCCAGATTTGTGGAGTGCACGACTAAAAGTTGTCCTGTGGACAGATTCTCCTACATGAGCTGTGGATCTCTGCAGCTCCTTCAGAGTTACCATGGGTCTCTTGGCTGCTTCTCTGATTAATGCTCTCCTTGCCTGGCCTGTCAGTTTAGGTGGACGGCTATGTCTTGGTAGGTTTGCAGTTGTGCCATACTCTTTCCATTTCGGAGGATGGATTGAACAGTGCTCCGTGAGATGTTCAAAGCTTGGGATATTTTTTTTATAACCTAACCCTGCTTTAAACGTCTCCACAACTGTATCCCTGACCTGTCTGTTGTGTTCCTTGGCCTTCATGATGCTGGTTGTTAACTAATGTTCTCTAACAAACCTTTGAAGGCTTCACAGAACAGCTGTATTTATACTGAGATTACATTACACACAGGTGCATTCTATTTACTAATTAGGTGACTTCTGAAGCCAGTTGGTTCCACTAGATTTTAGTTAAGGGTATCAGAGTAAAGGGGGGGCTGAATACAAATGCACGCCACACTTTTCAGATATTTAGTTCTAAAAAATGTTGAAAATCATTTATCATTTCCCTTCCATTTTACAATTATGTGCCACTTTGTGTTGGTCTATCACATAAAATCCCAAAAAAATACATTTACGTTTTGGTTGTAACATGAAAAAATGGGGAAAATGTGAAGGGGTATGAATACTTTTTCAAGGCACTGTATATTGGTTGACAACTGCAATAACAAGTGCACCAAATAGAAATAAACAGAGGAAAAGCATGTACTTGCATTCAGTGGAACATGTAAAATGCAGGTCAGTGGTAGGTGTTGGTCATTGAAACACAGAAATATATCTGTTAATTGGATGGGAGGATGTGTCTGTAGGCCTGATTTAATACTGATGCCGATGTAGGGTGTGTTAGTGCAAATCTCTAAGTGTAGCTGTCAAGGAAAGAGGGAGTTATATCTGGCTTATGTAGCACATTAATAAAATAGGGGAAAATGGAGGGAGGAGGCAGGGAAAGGGTATAATGCTAGACAAAATATAAGTAGAGAGAAAATGTAGGGTGCAAAAAGAGGGGGCACTGGAGCCCGGCCAGAGGCACCCATTACGTAGGGCCTATATTTATGTCATCTCTAAAGTAAGAGCAGGGAGAGATCAAGGTTCAGACTGAAATTGTAATCAAACCACGGTGACCATATTTTCAAGTATTTAGATTGTGTATCATAGAAGTGAGTTTCTCATGGATCATGGTGTCCATTATCCACTGTTTCACCTCCATGCAGTTCAGGGAAGGCTGTCTCCCAGTTTTTGCTATTTGATGCAGAGCTAGAAAGATAAAATCTGTTAGTTTTCTGTCATTAGTAGCAGGATCAGAGATAGGTCTAATAAAGAGGAACTTTTGGTTTTGTTTAAAAAAAAAAAAATATCAGCTACAAGTACTGTAGCTGCTGACCTAATAAAATAAGTTCTTACCAGCCCAGGAATCCAGTGTTGTCTTCATCTTTCGCCAATCCTCAGGTCCCCCCCCGGCGCACCATTTTGACTTTGGGAAGTCAGCTGTGACTAACTGCTGTCTCATAGCCGGCT